TCCGCGGCTAATGATAGATGTACACATGAGTGAGTTATTGTTGTGATTATTAGGAGACGAGACATGATGATGATTGATTTATATTCATACTGCGACCATACCATCTTTACGTGTATTATTTATGTGCATAGTGGTGAGCACGCTTTTCATCCAGTGCTGATCCCCACCTGCTCTTCACCGATGCAGGTTAAGCAGGAGCTAGGTGACGAGAAGAGGCGAGTGGGTCGGTCATTTTATTTACTGCTTCCGTATGAATAAATAAGGCTTTATGAACCTCTATGTTGAGACTTGATTAAACCATTTTCTAAAATTTATGACTTCATTGTTTTTGGAAACTTGTGAAACCCGGATGTTGGGTATTATGGTTTGGTTATATATTCATGTTGAGAATTATGTTTCGTGATGTATGTTGGTTAATGAAAACCATTTGTGAAACCGGGTAATGAATCCCCGTGAGCTCAGATAAGACTTGGGTTATGAAAAATGTTTAACACCCATTGAATTTTCGAAAATGATTTTGAAAAATTTTATACTGATTTTTGGAAAGTCCGGAATTTCTGTAAAATCAAAGTGGGGTGTTACACATACAATTTCACAACTAATGGGGTAACAACAAGGAACAACCATTGTAGTTTCCATTAAAGCGGACCACTGCTGCCCACTAGCTAAAAAAAAAACAATACAAAAGCAGGCAGCAAATTGATCATAATTCTATTCAAAATAGACCGCTGAGAAATACTCTCTTGTTCATACCACGCAATTTCATTTTTCAGAAACGTCAGAGCCCCAAGGCCACATACAACAAGCCAATAAGAATTAAACTAACATTTTTTATCGTGCTACAGATTATCTTTCCGAGTCCAGAAACTAGCATCACAATTGCAGTGAACAAAAGAAAATGGGAATAAAAGCTAGGCTAAACAAAATTTTTTGCTCGAACGGGAAAAGGCAATGAACGAGAGCCTCGTGAAAATGCTACAAACTAACCAACCACATAGACTTAGACTCGTCCTCTACATCACCTCGGGACTCGACTAAACCTATATCAGTTTTTAGCTTGAAAAGTAATTGCAGTGAAGATGTGAGGCAAAGGGTGTACCAGTGCAAAAGCTTCAACTCACAGGTGCAAAAGTAAATTTAATCTACAACGAAATCAAGCTGCTTTGACTTTGCGGGAAGCTGGGCGCCGGAAAATACTAATCAAATCATCAACACCCTGTTGAAAGAACATTAACTGCAGGCTGAGATTTATGTACAGATTTACTTTGAATTGGTCCCTAAGAAATTTCTATGTTTCACAAGTTAGTTAAAACTCAACTTTTCCTTGGATGCCCCTACACACAATTATATTTGCACACAATTTTCCTTCATTTCCAATAGTGCAGGAAAAAAACAATTAGTAACATACTCGCTATTTTGGGCACCTCGAGTAAAATTGTAGAATTGTGGATCCTTTTGGGAAGGAGGGAACAGTATATGTTATCATGTTGATTATAACATATTATGTTTTCTTCCCGACTAGGGCAGCAAGATTAGTCATGCATGCTCGTGAGAATATGAAGATTTTTAAACTTGAGTGTAACTTTTCTAGTAAGTAATTATAGTCTTTTGTTTCAATTAAATTAGCCAACACGGTGAAAATTATGTTTACAGTAGTAACATTATTACTATTATTCACAAAGAGTAAATTTCTTTTTCATACCCTGGTGATGATAACCAAAAAGCTGAAAAGCAGAATCAAGTATGATCCAAGAACGAGCAGCAAAAGCAAGTCAAAAGTCACGCTTGCAACCTGCACCATGAGATCACAATCATCAGAACTGATTATTCTACAAATTTAACGGGACATCAATTCACTTTATTCCAGATGTCATGCTCAACACTCAACAGAGACGCATTACATAATCAAATACTGTTTGTGTGGTTACTCGTTTACAACAAAGTGAAACATAATACAGGGATTAATTGGTGAGTTAACCTATATAAATCATGAGCATTTATATTGGTAGCTGACCAGTACTTTTAAGTTAATTTTAACATAGGGAAGGTGAAAACTTGCGTAACCTCGAGAGAAAATGAATTCATTATACTCTGTACAAAGAATCAATTAAGGTAGTAGCGAGTTTCAAAGCGACAGTAAACTAGAAAGGTAAACTTCAAAGAGGAGAGATTGATTGGTGGAACCTCTTTCGCAGCAGTTATGCATGTATATATTGTGTCTGTGTGTGTGTGTGTGTGTGTGTCTGACATTTAACCAATGAATTTTGATAGACACCTGATAGATATGTAGCTTGCCGCTTATTGAATCATAAAAAGTGAACACCCCATCTAATGGCTCCTGCTGTACATTCACTTCAATAGTGTGGTCTGATAACTCCTGAGAGTGAATGTGTTAAAAATCATGATCAGAAGAAAAGCTATCATGGAAAGGATTTAAAACAACAGATATCATGTCTTGCGAATAGTACCTTTTTAAGTGCCACAATAAGAGGATCATCTTTTGATAGAAATGGAGCCACTCGAGGTGTAGTCGACAAAAATTCTACCCACGAACGTATGTAAGAAGGATTTATAGATAAACTACTCTGATCTGCAAATATATCAATGTTTTTCCCTTGCTGGCCGTAAATTTGTCTCTGTGTATACCATAAAAGGTAGAGGGAGAAAAACTGAGAATCCTTCTTAATTTCAACTATACCTAGCATAATCAAACGCAGAAGAAATTTGAAGACAAGATCTTACCGCAAGACTTTCAGCAACTAATTTGACACTTCGACTTATTGAAGCTTCATTAATAAAATTCCTGTGGAGAAGACAAATGATTGAAAATGAAATTCACCCAAGAAAGAAAGTTAATTTTGACAACTGAAAAATAAAAGTAATACCATTTTAAGTCATACCTGTTATCTGACAGGCTGCCAGTATTTTCCAGGAAATCGGGTGCAACAGGGAGTTTAGATAGAGTTGCTGCCGTGACTCTCAGCCTCGAAAATTGCTCATGTTCCCATGCCACCTAGATTATGTTACAATATCATCAATATGACCACAGAGGCTGATGAAAACGATAAATAAACCGAGCTTATGATTACATATAGACCGTACTACAAAAAAAATAAAAACTTTCCCTTTATTACTCTACTTACAAGAACTACTAGTTTCAGTGATACAGCATGCAAGCACTCATCAAGTTCAAAACTCACAAGGAACTTAGCTTACACCTTTTGCCTGAATAGAAAAAGTATAAAAGTTTGTTTCTCTAGAGTAGTAGAGATAACGATTTGTGGGCGTGACGTGATCACCTCAAAGAAAAGTTTAAAAAGCTCTACTCTGTAGTATCATGAATCCTTGTAGTTCTTTCATGCAGTAGAGCTGCTTTCTAAGTTTCAAGAGAGGATCATAGGAAGGACGTGCAATGGTAAGTGTCAGCAAATTTTAAAGAGAAATGGGACTTACTCGAGGATTAGAGATGTTAATCTTCTTGTGTTTCAGATCAACTTTTAGCCCCAATTCTTCGGACACACTAGAGAAACCCTGGAGAAATGCATGTAAATAAGAAATAAATCATTTTGAAAATAAGGGATAACTCAAAAGCTTTCCCTGAGATTTGATTTAGCAACTAAAAGAACATGTATGTTCGAAAATTACAGAAATCCCCCTGAGATTTGGTAGTGTGCTTAAAATTAAGGGGTAACCGTAACACTTTCACAAATCCGAAAGGTTTGTTTCTAAAGGGAGAAAAATCCCTCAAGGATCATTATTGAATTTTCAAAAGCTCTAGGTTGTTTTAATTTAACCTAAACCTCAGGGGTCGGTTTTGTAATTTTCTCTTGAAACTAATGATAGTGTCTGACAATCAACATTAAATCTTCCTCACAAATTGGGAGGGGGATTAACCTCAAAAATTTGTTTTATGTAGGCATTTTCCGGAGGCTTGGACACATGCAGCCATAACTCATTGCTAGAAGAGCCAATGCTATTCAAGCAAATAGCATAATCAATAGTCTCACGCAAACGCTGATCCATGCTACGAAGCCACTGTACTGAGAATGTGATACGCTTAGTAACACCCTTAAAACATGTATAATTGAAAACCAGGGAAAGCTATAATCAAAACAAGCACCTTATGAGTTCCATTGTAGTTATAAGGTCCTCCAGATGTCAGGGCAAATAGTAAATTATACCTTCCTCTTGTCTTAGGGTTTGAATACAAAATTGAAAACAGTCTAGCAATTTCAAGAAGAGCCACAACACCGCTTCCACTGCTATCACTTCCCACAGACAATGCCTATAAGTAATAAGATGGCATAAGTCCGTATACTTCCAATAAAACACAAAAGCTCATTAAAGGAACTAGTTATTAACTGGTTCAGCTCCAAATGTGTCATACGCTGCCACAATGGCTATAGTTGGTAGTTGATTAGAATCTCCGTCGGCTTTTAATCCTGGAAGCCATCCCTGACATACCAAAAGATTTGGAAAACTTAAAATCAGTCACCGCAAAATTCATACAGGTAGATAATGGTTTTATCAGTCTAATTAAGTCGAAATTGGACAACAATGCAGACTCAAAAACATAGCATGCTGCACTGCATTGAGAGGCAATGAATCCACTTACTCCATTTGAAAATAAAAATGGTCAGAACTAAAACCTGAATATTTATTATGGTAGGAGAAGCAATTTTCCTGGGCTCTGGTGCAGCAACTACAAGCTTGTAGCTGAAACATTCAGATGAGACTTAATTGCAATGAGGCTACTGAGGAATTGGCATCTGAAAACCAATATCTAACACGGATACAAAGCATAACGAACTACCAAAAAAATTAGTATACCACAATTACAGTTTGTCCAGCATATGATGCAATCATGGCTCAGAGAAGCAAAATCTTTTTAACTCAGAAATTGGGCCCCAGATCCGAAAAGCAACGTGAATACAAAACTAGTAGTCAAAGAACGTACAGTTGATAAAAGTCATACAAAACTAGTAGTCAAAGAACGTACAGTTGATAAAAGTCAAATGGTCAGCATTAGCATGCCCATTGCTATAAATTTCCTCACCGATTAAAAAGCATAACTTTCATGGGCCGGACTCAACTCAACCGACATTACATACATAAGCATTAAGATTTACTTCTTTATCCTTTTACAACAGCTGGAGATAAGGAGGTTAATAAGGTTAATAAGTGCTCTATGGTACAATATCACTGGTGCTGGCACAAGATAATTGCTGCAATCATGGCAGACTAATGGTCCTGCATTTCATTTCATGGAAACCCAAGAGGAAAGCATCAAAAAGTATGCAAATTATAGCTAATAAATGAACAAGAAAGTAGGAAAGGAAGGCCTATATGATATTGTGAAACCGACTTATCACGAACAAAAACTGTGCAACAGCAGATAGTGTGAGCATTTATAGTTATTACTAATTTCTAAGCATACACTCAATTTTTTTCTGTTTAGGGTGGTTTGGGATTGGCGTTGTACTTTCTTTCTAACTGTAGACAGAGAAGAAGACTCATGAAGATATTCAGATAATAATAATTTCTTTCATTGTAGCTTCTGATTAATCAATTTACCCGCCAGTTGTTGCGGTCGCCGGCTGACCAGAGGCATCATTCTTCTTGACATCATCAAGCATAGCACTAACATGCTCATCTTCAAAACCAAAGTAAACAGGATACTGTGACATAAGAGGCCCTTATCAGAATGAGAAATAGATATATGATTGGCGATTTGGCAGATAAGTTTCACGTCAAATATAATTTAGCTGCTAAAAATATATATGCGGAACGGTTATTCATACTTGCCAATAGAAACATTTATTTAAAAAGGACAAACATTTTCACTCACAGGGATGTTTTCATGTATAAGCAACTGTTCCACTTCATCCAACACATCTTTCACAAGGTGTGCAGAGTCCTGATCAGATCCACCACCCTTGTTCAAGTGTTGTGGATTAAAAACTTGGGGAAGCAGGAGTAACAGACCACCTAATGGCTTCCTCTGTCCAATATAATCTGCAATTAGATTCCAATAAAAAGAGTTAGTCCGGCAGTCGTGAAAAAGTGAAAAATCACGTAAATGTATTATAATTGCTTTCAGATTTGAGCATAACGCCATAACCAATAGTAAAGCAACTGTTGATGATTCAGCTGGAAAATGTAATAAAAATCAGGAATTCAAAACATATAGGAAATCCAGAAGTTCATGCAGATTAGAGAAAGAAGCTCAAATCATTCCAACTGATCCTTGAAAATCTCTCAAATCTCGGGCAGTCTCAATGACAATGAAATCACAAAAGAAGTCTCAATGGAATCAAATCATTTCAAGAGAGGGAACTTATTTTCAGACCAAAATCCCCAAAGTATGGACAAACTCAGAGCAGTGTTAAAAGAAATGACAAATGAGTTTGCCAATATATCAGATTGAAAGCAACCAGCATGACCAAGTACAAAGATCAATCAGATGCGTCAAGATTCAAAAAAAGTGTCAAAGAAAATTAAATTGAGTAAACATCTTTATAATGTGAAGCTAAAATCAGCATCCTTTAAGTTATTGCACTTCCATAACATCTCATTCCTCTTGTTAATTACTTAATATAATTAAATCAAAATCGATTGGAACATAAGAAAACTGAATAAAGGCTGTAAATTTATGCAGGTGTGGTACAGTTCCTCCAGCTCCAGCAAAAGTAACTCCAATCACTAATGTAATTTGCCTCCAAACCCACCCTCTTTCATTTAAATAGATTCAAACACTACCCATTACCCAATATGGTCTATAAGACTATCACACGGTCTACAACCTATATTAACAAAAAGAATCTACACTTCCACGGATTTGGAACCGAACTCCAAGTTTTCTTTGTAACAGTTCTTCCTACAACTGCAGCTCCAGCTCAACTCAACTCAAATAAACTCCACAGGTTTCCAAAGTTCAAACTTCACAATTTTCTGGGTAAAATAATATGATGTAAGATTCAAAACATATTTAGAAAAGCACTCCTTGGCTAAATTGTATCTCATGTGGCTACGAAAAAATTCAGGAACTCGGAATAACAACATATGTTATTGGCATATATTTAAATATGCTTGAAAAACTTATATAGCATCTTAAAAGATCGGGAAAATTAAAGAAAAGGCCGAGACTTCCAAACAAAGACCTCTAATGAAAGTGAGATTCAATTCGCGGACAGGTAGAATAAGCACGGTGCGGGAAAGATCGGCGACCGCGCCGTGGGAAGAGGAATATATCGAGGAACCGGCATGGTGGTTAAGGGAGGCGAACCGCGACCCGAAAGGCACGCCGGCGATATCGTACTGGACGAGGCGGTACACGTCGACCACTGTGACGGCGTCGCAGAGCTCCGCGCAAGCCATAACTATGATGAGCAGCGTAATAACTGACGAATAGACCGGCTCCACGAAAACCGAGGACTGTGATTTCGGGACCTTCGCCATTGTTGGAAGAAGTGGTGGAGCTTTTCGATCTGGAAGAGGCAAGAGAATCTTGTATGTAGGCAGCGTATGAATTTTATTTATTATAACTAAAAAAAAAAAAAAACTTCTAGTTGATAGAAACAAATTTGCAAATATAATATGTAGTAGTTTAATATAGGGATAATTGCATTTTTTTTTTCCAACCACATAATTTCTCATTCAAAACCAAAATAATGGAAATGTACAAGGAAGTCCATTTACGCACACACTGAGAGGACAAGTACAACATGTAACTGCCTAATCGATACAACAACCTAAGCAAATAAAGAGCATTGATAAACATACAAGCAGCAACACAAAAGCACATAACAAACACCATCTACACATAACAGCTAAAGAAGGAAATGATCACAACGGACACGAGACCTACTGAGCACTCTTCTCCACCTGTTACAGCTAATATTTGCTACCAGAAAGTTTCAGCCAGTCATGCATACCTGACTTCACTATCCAAACCTTCGGCTGCCATTTCTTTCAAACACGCACAGATTTCTTGCACGCCAGAGCCACCAAAGTATATAAGTGGATAGTTGTATACGGTCTTCATGGATATCCTCAGTCTTCATAATGCAAATCCACCATCACCACTCTTTAAAGCTCAATTGCTCCTCCATGATTTTGTTCCACTAGACAGGAGCAATTTTCCATGTGGCTCTTGCTCTTTTGCAAAAGAATAAAGCATGCTCCTGTGTTTCTTCAACTTCTCCACAAACCATACAAATGCCATCAAATTTCAGCCCCCTGTTAATTAAGTTACAATTCACTGGAAGAATGTTAGAAAAACATCTCCAGATGAAATGTTTAATTTTTCCCATGACTTGGAGCTTCCAACACCTCTGCCTAGCTCTTTTGCTCCCCCCAGCCAACACACTTGTTTCAGCAAGATTTCTATCACAAATCTTCTCACACATCAATAAGGCATAAGCAGTTTTCACAGAAAAAGAACCCTTAGATAAAAAGGCACCTTTCCATTGATCACTAGCTCTAGGGTTGAGAGATTTAATCTGTAAAATTTTCAGTGCATCAGCTTCCTCAAACAGAATTTTTACAATGGTTTCATCCTAGCCACACCCACCAGCAGCTAAAAGATCTTTAACCAGAATTGATGACCCTCAATTTGAACTCTGAGGGTAGGCTTACCTCCCTGAATTCCAGGCACCCAGTTGCAATCATTACGCTTAGTGCTACCTCCATTCTTCACAATAATACTCAAATGCTTATTCAGGATAGGGATAAAGGAAGCCCAAGAGTTCCAGAGCCAGGAGGCTCCATTAGATTTCTCAACTTCAAGCAGAGAGTTTTTGGGAAAGTACTTACTTTTCAAGACTCTACTTATCAACAAATCAGGATGAGCTATTATCCTCTACAGCTGCTTGAGGATGAGGGTTGAATTAAACAGTCTGATGTCTTGAAGCCCCAGACCTCCTTCATTTTTTGGAATAGTTAACTTATCCCAAACCATCCAATGCATCTCAGGTTCATGCTCATCACATTTGGCCTGCCAGAATCTGGCCACTAGTCTGCAAACCTCCTTACATAAACTCACAGAAAGAACAAAACAAGACATAATGAAAACTGGAAGGGCATTCAAGACTGATTTCACTAGCACTTCTCTGCCAGCTGTGGATAAAAAGATATTCTTCCAACTTTCAATCCTATCTCTCACAACAGTGACAACATACTGAAAGGACTCTAGTTTAGAGGCACCAATCCCCAGTGGTAACCCAAGATATCTAGAAGACCTCTTAATCACCACTCCATCCAGCACAGAACATATTTGAGATTTCAAAGAATCACAACAATTAGAACTGATGAACAGGGAAGACTTACACAGATTCACCTTCTTGCCAGAAAATCTCAGATACTTATAAAAATCTCCAACATTAACTAGGCATGTTTCACATCTGCCTTACAGAAAACTAAGGCACATCTGCAAACAGAAGATGATTCATACTGGGCCCATCACAAGAAACTCTGATCCCCTGAAACTGACCAGTAGCAGCTTTGAAACTCAGCAGAGAAGAGAAAAGTTCAGAGACAAGGATGAAAAGGTAGGGTGACAAGGGGTCACCCTGCCTAATTCCCCTTGTAGGAACAACATAGCCACAAATACTGCCATTCAAGTTGAAAGAAAAGGTAGGGGAGGAGATGCAACCATAGATCCACTTAACAAATTTTGAATAGAACCCCATCTTAGCCATAGTCAATTTAACACAGTCCCACTCCACCCTATCATAAGCTTTCTCCATGTCTAACTTAACAACCATGAATGCATTAACCCCAGATTTGTGCCTATGCAGAAAATGAAACACTTCATGAGCTAGCACCACATTATCAAACAATTGTCTGCCCGGGATAAAGCAGTTTGAGATTGACTCACACGGTCATTCAACACACATTTCAACCTCTCAGCCAGTACCTTAGCCACAATCTTATACAACACTCCACAAAGACTTATAGGTCTATAATTACTCAAAGATTCAGGGTAAAGACACTTTGGGATGAGGGTTATCACAGTATGGTTCCAATTTTTTTAATAGAAGTCCAGAGCAAAAAAAAGCTTTTAATGGCACAACACACATCACTTTTGACAATGTCCCAAAAGTGTTGAAAGAAAGATGCAGACACACCATCCTCACCCGGGGCTTTATCAGAAGCCATATTGAAAAGAGCAGTTTTAATCTCCTCCTCTTGCACTGGCCTTATAAGATCATTGTTCATGGCATCAGATAGAATGACGAATGTGTTGGAGAAGCTCCTCCCCTGCCCTTGCACCTTGTGAGTTGAATAAATGTTTGTAGAAATCAGAAATGTGTGCTTCCAAAGTCTCCTTAGAATCATCCTTCACCCCAGCACTAGAAATAAGAAATTGGATGGAATTCATTTTCCTTCTCTGTTTAGTGAAGGCATGGAAGAACTTGGTGTTGTTGTCTCCCCCCTTCAGCCATAGAGCTCTAGACTTGAGTCTCCAAAACACTTCTTCTTCTTTATGTGCATTGTCTAAATCTGCTTTCACCTAGTGTAGCACCCCGCCTTATCATGAAAATCAGAGTGCGTTTATACAAACCCTTTTAAATAAAATACTGACTGATTTGCAAAATACTGTTCGGAGTGCTACCAAAATACATGACTTACCTTTAAATCAGACTATTTTTAAGAAAACGGACTCACAGCCTGCTGACAGTCAAAAGGACTAAGTTTAACAAAAAGTGAAAAGTCAGCGAAAACTGTAGTGGCAAAACAGGATAGCAGTGCTATGATAGTGAAAATAAGCCTACGGGAGATAGCAATAGCACTGCTATGCCAAATTCCAACTGTACAAAACGTAATTTAGATTTTATAGGCATAACTCCCGTATAATTTAAACTTTATAAGCATAAGTCCTAAACCGCTCGTCATCTCACACCTCCGGCCCGACTCCATGACCTAAAAAACATGATAAAAGTGGGTCGTGAGCACTAAAGTCCACTGTGCTCCGTGGAAACTTATACTAAAGTAAACAGTGATAATAATTACAATAACATGATCCTGGCATATATAACTGAATTGAACTGAAACCGGTACTGATCATGATCTGATACTGATGGTGAGATAATCATCACCTGTCTGATACCTGAACATCTGCCAGCATAAATGTCGGACACCATGTGCATACTCTAGTGGGCAGACTAAGGCCACTAGAACCCAGAATGGACCGGCGACCATTCCAAGCGGATACATGACATGATAATACATACCTCAAACATGGTAGAATAATTATAATCAATGTAATACCCAGTTTGAGTCCCCACCTGATTCGTCTGAATAAAAAGGCAGTGTTGACATTCGTATCCTGATCAAACTGAAAATAATATAAAAATTACTAGATACTATGCTCAGACTGATAAAATAACTTTTTAAATATGTTAAGATGCTCTACTGGACTTAAACATGATATTTGAATTTAACCGGTATATCTGGAACCGGCTAAAATCGGAACTGAACTGACTAGATTTTACTGAACTGAACCGGACCCGGAATTTAACTGAAAATGGGACTTAAAAAATGAATCGGGATTTAAAATATTAAAATCTGGGTCAAACTCGTCCAAACCGGTCCGAACCGGGTCTGAACCGGTCTGGCCGAACCGGTGGCTGACTATGACCGGGAGGTCGGCAGCTGACTCGGCCCACGGCCTTACCGCGGCTGCGGGTGCGGCTGCTGGCGGCCTGAGCGTGGACATGATGGCTGCAGGGCCTGCCGGGGCCCTGGGCGATGGTGCTGCGGCGTCTGGCGGCGGCTGACTTGAATTAGGCCCGACTGGGCACTACTATGCACGCATGAAGCTGACGGGCGCTGCCAGACGCTATGTGCGTTGGCATCAGGCGCCACTGAACGCTATCGTGCGCTACCATGCGCCGCGACAGGTACCTGGACACAGAACACCCCCGCGGGCGCTGGCTGAGCATGACAAGGTACCGCGCGGTCTTCATCGTGCGACTCTCGCGGCACTGGCTACTCGGGCAGGCTGTTGGGCGCTGCCGAGGCGCACTGCTGCGCGCTGGCGTGCATTACCGCACGCTGGCGTGCGTGATTGAACATTGGCGTGCACTCGTGCACTGCCAAGGACTGCCTTTTGCGGGTACGGACTATACGCGACGCCTATACCGCGCACACCCGCACCACACACACACCAGCCGGTACGCTGCGGCCACGACATGCGGACAACGCAAGTACAACCGACCCTCGTCGGCCGTCCGACGACTTTCTCCGGCAACTCCCAATCAATTCAACATATCGTCACATGACATAATCATATATACTGGTTTTCTTCAAAAT